GGTGACTGATAACACACTGACGGTGTTGATAACACACCGATGTGTTAGTTGTTGCTAAGCAGTGCTTACACTAGTCAAGGACTTTTCAGCTCCCCATGCTCTACCGACTGAGAAGGCTGGAGGTGCACAAGAAGCTGCCCGTCTGCCAGCAGCGACGCATCGTGCATCACTTGCTTTGTATATTATTATTATTATTGTTATTATTATTTTTATTTTATTTTATTTCAAGTATTAAACTTTATATCTCAACCTACGAGTTTTCTCACTTTTAGTCTTCCGATTCTCTCCCCCATCCCACCGGGGGGTGGGGGGAGTGAGCGAGCAGCTGTGTGGTGCTCAGTTACCAGCTGAGGTTAAACCACGACAGTAGAAGAATGGGGTCACACCACATCAGTTTGGCACAGAGGAGCAAAGTAACTATTTTGGGGGACACGATCCACCAGAATACTGGTGCCTCACTGTATGTTAAACAGTGCATATGTGAAACATCACTGTGTGTTAAACAGTGTTGTATATATGTTAAACAGTGAGCATCACTATGTGTTAAACAGAAAACAGACAAGCAATCTTAAGCCAGACAAAAATTTCTCAGAAGTCAATTAGCATTTCACCTGTGAAGAAGTTCCCTTTTAACAATTCAAACCCATCTTTAGATCTTTCTTCCCTGTAAAACTGTTGGAGGTGATTCCCTCACCGTCACCAAGTTGCCATGTTAATGCTGTAGCCACCGAGGCAGCAGCAGAGGACGGGCGACTGCATGGTTCCCGCCATGGGCAGGAGCAGTAGAAGGGATGTTAGCAAAGGAGGTGTTTGGTGGAGGAGCAAAAGTTTCAGGTGAGGAAACATTATGACTTATTTTTACAGACTTCAATTTTGTGAGGCCTTTACAAGAGCATTTTCTTGACATGTGCCAAAATTCATATGAAAGCCAGTCACATAAGCAGTACTCCTAGGTGCAGAACACCTAATGATTTCAATGGGAACATCGTAGTTGGGCTGCTTGCAGAATCCAGGAGCCCTGTGCTGCACATAACATCTTTGGTACTGTGTCAGTCTTAATAGGGGATAAGCTGCTCTAATCGGACATCCATTTAGGGAGCGAAAAGAGACCCTTCAAGTCTTGCTCTTTGCAGACACACATCTTCCTCGCTGTTAATCTGAAAAGTGACGTTGATTCTTTTCTCTGTAGCGCAGCCATGATTACTTCATTTATATCTATTGAGGTCTATGGCAAAAGCTTTTGTGAAAAGAACCATAATTTTCACAGCTGACTTGAAAACTAGCATGAGGACAGACAGAAGAAGACCTAAATCTATTCAAAACTCAGCGAACAAGGTAGTATCCTACTGGGATGAGGGTTTAACCTCTCTGTATGAGCTCTCTCTCAAGGTGAAGTAAGGCTATACCCCCGAGATCAGGCTTTTTTTCTTTATAGTGCCATACACAGTGGTTTGAACACTGTACCCACCTTTGGTCATTTCTTGATATTCAGGACATTAAGCCCTGCTTTAGTCTACAGAGGCAAAAGAGAAGCCTGGGCTTTGTGTGATGGGACCTGGTTTTTACAGAAGTAGATTATTGAGACTGGTTTGAACACAAAGAAGCCAACTGATATATTTTTTTTTAACCTACTAGGCATCAGAAGCAGAACTGAAAAAAACCTCCTGACCACCTCTTTTTATACAAAGAAGTGTGGTGGTCTGCAGTGATAGCTGCATGGGCTCTGAACAAAACAGCCAGTGGTGTATCAGAGGAGGAGCGTGGCAGTATCTCAGGCAGTGCCCATGTGGACATGCCCCGTCCTCCTCTGCCAGAGCGAGGGAGCCACTAAATGCTGCAAGGTGTGACTGGTTCAGTGAGTGATTTAGATGCTGTTGGTTGGTTTAAAGGTGGCTTGCTGTATAGAAAAGAAGAAGAAGAGGTAATGTGCTCTGAAACCAAGTGTGGTGTAACCAGATCGCACCTTCATGAGTGCTGCCCAGTGCGCTCCTGCCGCTCGGAGGACACGCCTGGAGACCCACTGCTGGGCACAGCCACACAGCTGAGAGGATGTACTGCTACGGCTCCCTCCAGTGAAGTTTCTCCTCTTTTGGCAGACAGACGTCAGAAATGCAGGTCTTTCTCCAGGAGCACTGATCGTGAGGGACATAGCAAACGGGGGCCTGAACAACTGCTGAAGGCTGTGACAGCTTCGCCGAGGCCAGAGAAGCCCTTCTGGCCATCCCCCTGCCTCTCCACCTTCCTGGATCTCATCACCCTTTCTGACTTTGAGGCATGCTGCTGCACATGACTTGGCCACTGTATTTGGGTTGACTTCCTTCCCTGTTCGCTTCTTCTTGCTCCCAATAACTAATTCCTTGTCCTCTATAGCTGCTGCTCCTCAGCCTTTCATGTCCTCATCCATCAGGTAACTCACCTTTTCCTCTGCTTCCCCTGGGGTACCTGACGGGTCTCCCTCTGTCTCACCATTTCTCCTTCTGTCCTGCCAGACTCCTCTTGTGGCCACCAAGCATTTGAGGCTCACCAGCCTGCCACGAGACACTGAACGCCGCACCCCAGGGTGCCAAGGAGTTAGGAAGTGAGAAAAGATCTTCAGCAAGGAAATATTTCTGGTGCCTTTGTCTTTAAATCAATATGCATGTAACTTTGGGGAAAACAGAGAAAAAATTGTTTCAGAATGAGTGCATTTTCTTTAGCGTTTAGTACTATGTATTTTCTACATACTATTAACATTACTTATCGGCATTGCATCACTCATTAACCAACAGTATGTAAAGCCTCTGCTTTGTTAAGAGCTATCGCAGGCAAACCCAAGTCCTCTCTGTGTTGTTTCCAATGCAGTTTGAATCTAAACACAAAGATTCTACTGGTTTTTAACACTGTGTGTGGCAGCTGCTAGTGCAATGGAAGTCTATCAGTCTATCTATCTGCCAACGTTTGATTTAAAAATTTAACTTTTTATAGTAGCTGTGTTACATTTCCATGCTATTTTTTGCCTCAATATGTAGTCTTTGCTCACAAATCAACAATATTATATTAATGCTTTCCTTTTTTAGGATATATGTATACTCTTCACATACAAGCTAAATTTTATCCATGCATCGTATTTACAGAAATGGCAATGGGACAATACACACAATTGTATTCCATCTTTAATACTATAAGTGTCATCATTCAGACTCAAAAGTGCAGAGGTTATAGTAGATATAAATGGAATCATTTTCTTTGTGTTGAGTTTATTATACAGAATGCAATTCTCACTTCAGGGAAGTATGTCCAGGTTAGACTCAACAGGCAAAAACTACCTCCATATTGTAATTTTCAATACAGTAAATTTCAGGGATTCTTTTTCTCTGTTAAGAAAAGGTTTTTTTACAGAATTTCTGCTTTCAAAGGCAGCTCAGAAATGAGAAGACTTCTAGCAAAGGATTTGAAATGGAGGCAACTCTTGCCCTTGTACGACAAGAGTCAGATAAGAAAGCTTTAATACTAGCACGAAACAGTCTTTGACTTCAAAGGTTTAATTTCTAGCTGGCACAGGACCACTAAAACCAACCATTTCCTCTTCAGATTTTGTTTTCTACTAATTGAATGTCTGTTCTTGTAAAGCATGTTAGTGAGTGGCACACAGTGCTGGCTGCAGCCCAGCTCACCGAGCTCCTGAGTTTATTCATTTGATAAAATACATAATTATGCACATTGTGTGTGCGCAGCCCAAGGTCCCACTGACTTTGACAGCTGATAAGATCTCATTTTAAGACCATCAGCATCTGCTCCCAAATTATTATTCCTCCCCTTCCCATTTCAGTTATGTTATTTGTTGTGGCTGTTTACCCTCATTGGCTAAGGATTTCAAAGCAGCTTCAGGGATTCAGATAGATACATTTTCTGGTTTATGTCTATATTCTTTACATTTCCTTGAAGAATCCCAGTTCTCCTATTTATAGACTTTTGTTAAGCTCCGTGACAGCAACCCCTTGTGCTTTTGGCATGAAATTTATACATTTCACTTAAGGATTGGTCAATGGGTGAAACAGATTAAAAGAAGTATTTGAAGAGCACAGGAATAATGTATTCTCTGTGTACACAGCAGCCTGAAAACAAGAATACAGGCTTGAAGTGTGGCAGTGGGGACTTAATTTAGACGTTAGGAAGAATTATTTAGCAATAGAGATAGTGACACATAGGACTATGTTGCCGTAGGATGCCGCGGTGTTTCTGTCTTCAGATTATTTTTAAGGGCAGGTTAGGTTATACAGTATTTTATGAGTAGCAATGCCTGCTTTCAGGCTGGCTCTTCAGGACTTTGTGGCCCTGCAGTTTCATACAGCTTGCAGAGAAAACGTTGTCTGGTGGCGAGGCGAGGCGATCGCTGCTAAAGGCAAGAGAGGAGGAGGTACAGTTTCAGACCAGAGAGGGCTGTTGGGGTTAGCTGGCTGGGCCTCGCTTCGCTCTCCGTACGGAAAGCAAGCTCTCCCTCTTCGCCCGCTTATCCAGGCGATATTAAAGGTGCTGTTCAGAGGCAAGGAAAAACCGTGCCTCCCGAGGACGGGAGTCTTTGGAGAAAGGGGCTGGCAACTAAACATACCTCCCCCTCCTCCCGGCGGGGACAAGCGGCCGCGGTCACCTCCGCGCAGGCGCTTCCCTGGGCCACGTCTAGCGGCACCGCGCGCCGCTGCCGGCAGACGGGCAGGAAAAGGCAGGCAGCTGCCGGCGGGCTCGCGAGGGCTGCGAAGGCCTGGGGCAGGGCAGAGGGGAGAAGTACGCCTGCTGGTGTATGCGTATCTAACACATGAGAACGGCGGTAAACCTCACAGCTGCACAGTATAGTGTATATGTTATGCTGATGTCAGAGGAGACGGAGTTTTTCTGTGGTTTGGGGTTTTTGGGTTTTTTTTTTCTTCTTGATGCCGTTCTCCTGCCTCCTGAACGAACACAACCCTGTCTTACGGATGGCGGCTGGGGAAACAGAAGGGGGCCAGGGCTAGCATAGAAATCTCTCATGCCAGGCTACGAGGGAAGGCTGGACCCGGCACCTCTGGTGGCAGCGGCGACTCCAGATTTAGGTCATTTTCAAATGGCTGGTTCCCAGGTGGACTGAGGGAGGTCACAAAGATTGGGGCTCAGTGAGCTGACCACAAGGTACTGCCTTGTCTGCCCCTGAGCCCTTAAGAGTCAGTGTTGGCACATTCACACACTACAAGGACGGCTAAAGCAGTAGGTATCACCACAGTGCTTCAGGAGGTCTTGCTTGGTTGATCCCAACCTTGAGGTGTTATTTAAATACTAGGCGCAGTCTGATCTCCCATGTATACACATATATATGACTGCCAGAGATGTTACATTCATCTACCCAACAGCAAAAAGTAATCTGCTTGTTTCTATACAGCGCTGTCAGGTTAAAAGCATTTTCTCTGATCTCGCACACAGAAGTCCACAAGCAATCACACATCATACTGGCACTGCTCAGGATAGCTAGCATCCACAACGGCATTTTTCACGCACGCTGGCTGCAGGGAATACACACCACACCGGGACTTCTAAGTTTCCATTTTGATCACATTGCTCAAACATGAGAATGAGTCACCCACCATACTGAAAACCATGACCTTTGTATTTACACCAAAAAAGGAATGATAAGCATAGGAGAGGGAAAGAAAACTAGAGAGAAAAAAAAAAAAACAACCCCAAACCCAAGCATGTCTTTGCTCTTTGAAACATAGTCGGCTGTTGTTATTCAGATGTGAGCTAAAGAAGTTGTTGCTGCGATTGGGTTTTTTTACTGTATCTGCATGAACTCCAAGGGACTCGTGTCAGCAGCACTGCGGTCCCTGCAGCAGGCACATTCTGATCACAATAAAGCAGGGCAAAGCTTTGTGTCTTCATCCATCCAGTTGCACATTTTATTTAGAAATAGACTCCATCTGTACTTTAGGGCAATCCTGCCCTTCAGCCATCTCCAGCAAAAACATTTTGCTGTGAGGGAACAAAACGGTAGCATGGAAGGGTGCGGTAAATGAGCAGTTACTCTCAAAGTAACCGCTCAGGAAAACATGGAGATCCAAAGGCAGACAAGTCTTCAAGACTTTTAAAAATGGTTAACGGGACAGAATTCTTGAGTCTGTTTTTCCTCGTGTTCAGTCTCCTCCTAAAGGAGAACAAAAGTACTTAACTAATTTCTGGTATTTTTTGTCAACAAAGCACCAGCTGCAAAATTTACTACAGAGTAGATAAAAGTATATAGTGCGGTAGACCCGAATGGGACCTGACAAACATGACTTTGAAGAGAACAGACTTAACGCGCATCAACATTTAAATATAGCAGGCCGGCCTGACTGACAAAACCTAAGCACTGAAGTGGATTTATTTTTGTGTGCCTCTCTATATCATACTTGGAGCATCCTTTCAGACAAAGGGGACAAAACCCTTGCAATGATTATTTGTGTAAGTGAAGATGATGAACTGGACAGGCTTCTAATGTATCCACGAAGTGGATCCATTAGACAAGGTGGATCCACAGGGTGAGGATGAAAAGAACAGGAGTTGCAGGAAACATTTATGAGCAGCCTGCTGAGCTGATCATTAAAGCCACTTGCATCCATCCCATTTTCCGACACATTCAAAGGGTGTTCTCAGAAGGAAATCTGGCCGTGCACCAGCGGGCAGCTGCATTTTTAAGTGGACACCCCTGTTAAAGAAACATTTTCTGTGCTATAGCATGAGCTCTACCATCTGTTGTCTAGCTCATTTATCGCCAGCTAAGCTTGCAAAAAACCTGATGAGGAACTGAAATGATGCAAGAAGCAAATGTCCTTGGGGAAACAGTGTTTTGTATTTCCCACAGGGAGCAAGAACTTCCGTGCTTTAGAAGCACCTACAACACTAAAAGAGAGAGAAATAAATGTTGGAACTGATCAAAACCAAAGAGAAAAAAGAAAGCAAGCTGCTTCATAAAGGCTAAGTAATTGAGATCTGTAATGGCAAGCCTGCATGCTGAAAAACACCTTCTAAATCCTCATTTAAGGTGCTTTAAATGATTGAGACTTCGCTTAAATAGCCTGCCATTAAAATCCAGTGAAGATCAATAGGAACAGCCCATTAGGGCAGCGGTTTCTGCATTTGAAACGGTTGGTCCTTATGTGCTGCCTTCTGATTTGCCTCTTCCGTGGCTGCCTATGGCCAATTTCACTTCATTCTGTATACGCTTTTTTTTTTTTTTTGAGAGAGAGAGAGACACAGGGCTGATTTTGTCTGATGGAAACCCTGGATCACTTGCTGGCTGCTTCTTCCCCTGTGGGAGAGAGGGGACCCAGGTCTCACAGGGTTACACCTGGTGCTGAGCACTGGGCATGGCAAAGCCTCCGGGATGCTGCTGCCCACATTGCCTCCACCTGAGGGGCAGGGGTCCTCTCCAGCAGCAGCAAGTTGCTGTCTTCTCCCCCCATCCCCACAGGGCAGCGAGAAGAGGGAACATGGCTCTTTCAGCCTCTCCTCTTTGTATTTCAGCCTGTCTCCTCAGCTCCTGCCCTTCCCTCTCACCCTCGCTTTCCTAATTTCCTGGGAAATTTGAAGGCCCATCCCCAGGCACAAGATAAAGCTTTCAGACCTATAACTAGACAAAGGCACAACAGCGGGGAACTTGCTGAAACATTGTTTTTTTCTGTCATTTTAGAAACTGGCTGAGGAAATAGCTGTACTAGAACAAAAGTGACAGCTTATAAGCTTTTGAGGAAAGACAGAAAAGGTGGAAGAGAAGGAGGGGTTATGATTTCTGTAAAAGAGCGATTTGAGGACATGGGCAAGAGGACAGGTCAGATGAGTGCCTTTGGGTCAAAACCAGAGGTGTCACCATCAAGGAAGTGCTTGTGGTGAGTGTCCTGGATGGATGACCTGATAGGCAATGAGAAACAGATGAAATCTTCTTCAGACCACTTGAAGACTGACAATGGCAGCCTTGGCTGCAGTGATAAGATGGTAGAGTTTAACATCCTAAGGGGTGTGAAGAAAGTAAGTAGCAGAATAAAGCCCCAGAACTTCATAAGAGCAGATTTTAACTTGCTCAGGGAGCTGTTAGGAGGTATCCCAGAAGAGTCTGCCTTGGAAGCCAAAGGTGTTCAGGAGTACTGGGAGACTTTCAGAGACAGCCATCAAGCACAAGAGCAGTCCATCCACCAGAGCAGGAAAAGGAGCTGGCACAGCAAGAAACCAGCCTGGTTAAACAGTGAGCTACTGAGAGAACTGAGATGCAAAAAAAGGAACATGAGAGAGATGGAAAAGGGAACTGGCTTCCAAAGGAGAATATAGAAATGCTGCTCGGGCACACAGAGATGCAGAGAGAAAGGCTAAAGCCCAGCTGGAGTCCAAATTGGCAAAGGATGTCGAGAGTAGCAAGAAAGCACTAACATACTGTATGTATGTTAGCAAGCAGAAGGACAAGAAAAGGTAGGTCCACTGCTGAGTGGGCTTGGCAAGTTAGTTACAAATGTCAGAGGGAAACCTGAAGATTTTCCTTCATGCCTTCTTTGCCTTGATCTTTACAAGTAAGGTCAGCCTCCCAGGTCTCTGCGGAAGCAATGACGAAGCGAACAATGATCTGCTGACAGTGGGAGAGGGTTGAGTTAGCTGAGGTAGGTGTTGGCTTCTTCCAGTTGCCTTCTCCTTCATGCCTGGAAATAACTTCCATGAGGACCCGTTCCATAATTTTTCAAGGAACTCAAGTGAGGCTGACTCATCTGTAATTTCCCAAGTCTTCTTTTTTGCCCTTTTTGTAGGTGGGTGTAATATTTGCCCTTTTCCAGTCAGCTGGGACTTCCCCTGAACTCCGTGACATGTCAAAGATGTTAAAGTGTGGCTTTGAAGACGTTGGCCAACATTCTTGGCAGCTTGTACATGTGGTCCCCAACACCCCTGAGCTCCTTTGCCCTCCTTGGGAACCTTTCTAAGATTTTGCTGGGAAGTTGAAATCAGGAGCAATTTTGTGTATGATCATCTGCATATAATGTATAGAAATCTGAGACTGCCAATAGAAACATGACGCGACAGACCTGTCAACTTTGATGCAAGCAAAAGCTAGTGCAACGCCCAAAGATTGATCAAGTGATCAGGCAGGCTAAGGAATGAGCCAGAAGGGCTGTGGTAATTCTCAGCCAAAACAAAGAAACCATAAGCCAGCTAGCCAAAAGAAGAAGAAAAATAGCAGTGTTAAAACATACCCAATCGGACACTCCGGCATACTCATTACTGCAACATGGTTCTTTAATGTTATGCTGTCATTGCCTTGTTCACAAGCCAGAGAGAACTGTAATAGTGTATTTTTCCCTATGTTTGTGCTCACGTATACTCGCATTTTACGAAAAAATCCAAACCAAATGTTTGACGATGCGACAAGAGCACTGGAGGGCCTGAAGGCAGGACCGGAGGGCTAGCAAGCCTTGCTGCAGAGATGACACTATCACTTGGCGGCCACAACCAGCTTTGACGCCTTGCAGAAGGTAACACCGGGCAATCAGATTTATTGAAGTGAGAGCAATGGGAAACGCAGGTATCTGCTAGTGTCTGTCAAGGGCGGGGATCCTCATGGGCATCCCCTAGGGTACAAACACTGGATGACAGCAGAGGCCTCTGAAGGTACATGCAAAAACTGCACATTGCCCATCGAGGAGTGCAGCCTCGATTGCTGGGTAGAATGGGTTTGAAGGCGTAACAAAGACTGAAAATAAGATAGATTCAGCTCAACTAAATCATCCCATACATGGTGAAGGTGGGAAGGAAGTAAGAAGGTATAAAAAACCCTGCAAGAACAGGAAAAAAGGAAGAAGAGAGAAGAATTTCTCCTGCACCATCTCCTCAGGTAAGGATACCACGTGCGATCAGCAACACCACTTAAACAGCAGCAGTTCCTCCTCTGGATTTGGGGGGAGGAATGCTGCTTTTTGATTTGCCCCTTACAACATCTTGCTAACGTGGACTCAGCAGTCATACGTAAAGTAGTACCTTTTGCCACGGAATCAGGTTAAATAAACTGGGATGTGAAGGAGCTGTTCCTATGTGTTTTGTTTTCTGCTTCAACCTTCCCGCTCAACAAGGTGATTGATACTGCAGCACAAAGGCAGAGTAAACTTGCATGGCAGAGCTCTGGGAGAAATCATTTATTGTATAGCAATGATTCACTCTCATTCTGAATATTAGGACAGCACCAGGCAAGATGAAGAGAGGCGAAACACATTTCACGACAATCTTTTGGTCTGAAATGGGACTCGTTCCCATCAGCACCTGAGATGGTATGCCCCTTGCTTCAGCAGTGACTGCGACTGCCACAGGATTACCAGTTGGATTTTTCCAGAGATACCACTGCAGCTCAGGTGGTATGTGAATCGTTGGCATTTAGCATCTTGGGCGGCATGAGGTGGGAATCCTCACAGTCCAAATGCTGCAAGACAGAGGTCTGTGGTGCCTGCACCTTCAGGTGAGAGTGCTGCAAAGCAGCGCCCTGGGCAGGCTGTGAGGAGGTTGCCCTAGCACGTGCCTTTCGGGCTGAAAAGGGCAACAGCCATTTGGAAGGAGGTTTGGAAAACTAGCTTATAAGGTTTGGAGTGGTTCAGCATTCCTTGCAAGAAACCTCGGAGAGCTTGGTCAAATACACTTCAATTTTCCAGTGACTATTATTAAGTGTCTATTAATAATATATATTGCATACTCCAGAAATAACTTTTCCACACGAAGAATTTGCAGCCATTTTACCATGTCCAGTATCATGTGCTGGCAGAAGTGAATTCTCCAATTGTTGTAGATGGCTTTTAAGGGTGGTGGTGAGGGGGCACTACTGCCTAATTTGAATGGAAGTATCTGATAAAACTGTAGCTCTATTAAATACCTGATTAGCACAAAGACATCCTTCAGCAGGGTTCTGTTTTATAAGACACAGGGGTGTGGTTGCTCAGATACCATCAATATGATAAAAGGAAGGGAACCTGAATGAACAAGTAGAAATTACGACATTTTAGTGATACTACTCCCAGGTATGCTGTAAGCCTCGCAGAGCGATTTCCAATCTCTGTGTGAACACGTAGCAAAGTACACAGATTAACAGCAGTTATTGTCTATATTGATCTTTAATGCCATACTGTTTCCATGGGGATAAGAAGGGCTGCTCCCGCGCCCTTGAGCAAAAGACTGCTCCTCATTTTCCCATGGTTATATGCAGAATTACTGCTGCCCTTTCCAGGCCTGAAATGGCTGCCTTTCAAGAGCACCTAGTATATTCATTGTGGATAATGCATGTTGTGACGGCTCAGGCTGGAAGACTTGTAAAAACGCATGCTGTGCAGGAGGAGACTTCAGGAATGAGTTGGAATGAGTGCCCAGTTCTCAGCAGTAAAGCATTGCCACACCAGATCCGCGAGAGCTCCTGTTGGGTTCCACGTGTGTGTGTGTGGATGTGCTTGTGCATTATTGTGGCACGTACTGGGGAAGGGAAGCACTTTTTGTTAAAACAACTCTACATACAAAAAATGTTACAAAGGCCTAACCAGGAATGTTTTTATAGTCACATTTGATTTATTTTTTTTGGTCAAAATGAGCATGGATATATACTAATGTATTTGATTCTCTTCATTAATTTGTATAAAATCTTCACTCAAGTAGATCTTTAAGATTTTTATTATCATTAATTATGTGTATTACAATAGCAGCCAGAAGCCTCCAAATTAGTGCCCAATGCATAGGGCCCCGTTGTACAAACAGATGTTAAAGAACAGCCCCACCTCCAAACTGACGACAAATTAAATCATGAGGATAAAGAAGTCCCTTTGGGGTCCATGTCTAAGCAGCCAGGCAGAGACCCAGGGAACGTGCAGCATGCTGATGAGTGTGATACGGTTTCTTCACTTTTGGGTAGACTCTGGAGGAAGAAAGAGAACCTGATCTGTTGGCACATTGCATTTCCCATAAGTGAGCGGCCACAGTGCTGAGATAATGATGACCCATTTCTTCGTGCTTGCTGATGATCCTAGTTTCAATCCTTGCTCAGTAGGATCCTGTGATTCAGCGAGTGAAAAACGTGTCCTCAGTGAGGACATGTAGTAAACTTCCCATTGTCTCTTCTGAAATCAGGATTTTGAACCTGCTCTCTGGTGGCAGATACAAACCATGGGAAGAAAGGAGCTGCAGAGGGAGAAGAAGGAGGAGACAGACCTGCAGACAGGTAGTTTACCCAGAGCCAAGCACAAGAATTCAGTCCCTCTGCCCTGTAAGCAGGGCCGGTTGAATGCTTTCCAGGAAAATATGACTCAAAAAATGAAGTGGGAAAATATCTGCACCACCTTGCATGAACGTGATGCAAGGCTCCGTTTCCTTGTCCCTATTGCACCAATGCCTAGAGGATACAGAATTAGGCCAGAAGAGGCTAGAAAGAGGTTGTTAAAGGATCCAGCAGGAAAGACAAAAGAATACCACAGATAAGAGAGCGCCTTAGGTACACACCTTCAAAGAAGCAGAGGTAGCTTGGGCCATCACTGAAAGGGACAACCTACCTGCCTGGCCGAGTCTAGGCTAGGACGGTCTAGTTTTCCGAATACCACGCAGAGGTGAAAGGGAGACTGGTTGTTCATGCGCCATTTTTGCCAGCCACCCAAGAGAGAATCTTGCATGTCTGTGCTGAACTTTATATACCAAATATATAAATAATGCAGAATTGTTCTCCTGAGAGGTGAAGGTGGCTAAGCCCATCCTTTTGTTTTATGGATGAGAAGCTCAACATGACACAGTGGTCACTTTGTCAGCTTTATAGGTGCTCTTCACCCGCAGAGCAGTACTATTGCAAACAGAGCAGCTACGCAGTGAACCCCTCGGCTTTAAAAACCTCCCCGGAGAGGAGCCCTCCTTACCAGAAATTTTTTCCGTCAGGGCAGATGAGATCACACTAGATAAGAGATCCCTTTGCTGTCTGACAGGAAACACAGCACTGACCTTCCTGAAGGCTCAGACTGAAGATAGCCTCCTGCAATGCTCACACGTGCAGGAGAATGTCAGAAAATTACCCCTTGTCAGGAAATCATTAAAAATGTTATCTTTTCCTCTTCAGAGTTCCTTGAGTCTCTGTTCCCTTCACCTCTCTCTCCACAGTGGCTGCTGGAGGAGGCTGCAGGATACAGGACCTGAACCAAAGCCAGCTGAGTAGCTGAGACTCCCTTCTAACTACAACTACCATGATTCTTTAAATCCAACCCTTTGGTCCCGTTGCTTATCAGCTCTTAGCGTGACAGTGGCTACGCTCCGATTTCAGCTCAGACAGGCTGAGTTCTGGAAATAGCTTCACGCTACCTAAGTAAAGCTCTGCTTACTAATGAAAATATCAGAGGGAATGACAAAATTGTTTGGGCAGATGAAGGAATGTGTGTTTGACCCTGACCAAATTCTCCCTCTCTGGGTGATCCCTCCTTCTCCTGTCACTCAGGAAATGTCCACAGCTGGTTATCATAGACCCTTCCTCCACCTGCTCCACCTCCCACAGCTCTGTGTCTTAAACTTCAGTGACATTATTCATGCAGCAGCGTGCCGGGTACACATCACTCATCTTCAGGGGTTTGAATTCCTCTGGTGAGGTGCAATAAGGCAGAGGTGAATCAGCGTCCAAAACTACAAATGCTCTTTGCTCGGGATTAATCTGGTATGTTTGTAAGGCATATCAGCTCTATTTTGCCTGTTGTTGTGCACTTGGGGCAGCGTTACACCTATTCACACCCACAAGTTAATGAAGGACAGACCAGGATCTTGGCTCTGGTGCTGGTTTGAGACTGGAGCATCTGCTCCCTTGGGGAAAGATGGGAAAGGCTGACACCACCTGCCTGATCCCCATGGGGAGGCTAAGGCCGGCAGCGGCTCTAGGCTCAGCGGCAGACATGGCTGCCGCTTCCTTCCACCACCAGAGGCATCGAGGAGGCCCAAGACCCAGCCAAGCAGGTGCAGCTTAGTTGCAAAGAGAAAACCCCAAGGCAGAGCTCAGGGGCACCCTTCAGTGCGGTCCTCTGCCATATCATCCCCTCTCCGGGAGCACCCTGCGCACCCGGCCAGCAATGCTGCTCTCCTCCTTGCAAAGTCCCTGGCCTGAAGGATCTCCTCAACTCTCCTTTGCCGCTTGCCGGCGAGAGGTGCCAGGGAGTGGGGGGCAGGCGGGGAGCCTACCACCCCGTGAGGGAGAGGAGAGAGCCCTGCCACTGCTCCTGCAACGGGGGCAGCACGCCCAGCTTCACGCATGTGCCTGTCCCCATTGGTAACCTCCTCAGCGAGAGCACCACCACCACCGGCACGTGCGCCACAAGGGTCCTTTCCAGCTGTAAAATTTCCCGGGAGACACCAGGGGCAGCAACAGTCTCCGAATCTGTCACGACACCCGGGATTTCAGCAGCCCCGCGGCAGCCCCACACCCTCTCACGGGCTGCCCATCAGCGCCCTGGCCCACAGGAAGGACACCGGCTCGCCTCAATTCAACACTTTCTCCGAGAAATGTCCCAGCTTCCCCTCCTCCT